GGTTGTTTTGCAGATAAAAAGGAGGAGGGAATAATGAAAGCTGCTTTCTCCCCACTGTGGAGAAAGACTGTAATTTTCCTAGGTAGAGGCTGGGGTGTGGAGATGGAAAGCAGAAGACAGAGAGGCAGATAAAGGTAGGTTGGCTGTTGGGTGGGAAGGAAATAGGGTTGCCAACTCCAGGTTGAGAAATTCCTGGACATTTGAGGGGTGGAGCCTGGAGAGGGTGGGATTTGAGGAGGGGAGGAACTTTGGACTGGTGTAATGTCATAGACTCCACCCTCCAGCCATTTCCTCCATGAGAACCACCATTGCCAGCCTCCGGGTGAGGACTGGAAATCACCCAGAATTACAACTATTGTCCAGGTGACAGAGATCAGTTCCCCTGGATAAAATGGCTGTTTTGGAGGGTTGAGTCTATGGCATCATACCCTGCTGAGGCTGCTTGCCACCCCAAGCCTCACTGTCCCAAGACTCCACCCTCAAATCTCCAGGAATTTCCCAACTGGAGCTGGCAGCCCTAAGTTGAATTGATCTCTGTAGCTGGGAGATCCGTTGTGATTCCCAGACCGCTGCCACTGCTGCTGTGGGGGGGAGAGGAGCACTGCCACCACTGCTGCTGCTCTGCGGAGTGGGGGAGGAAGCAGGCAGGAGGCTGGGAGAGTGATGGGGCAGAAAGAAAGAATGATGGGGTGGGGGCAGAAAGAGAGAGAAAGAGTGATGAAATGGGGAGGCAGAAAAAACAAAGAGAAAGATGGCAGGTCAGAGAGAGGAAGTCAAGAAAAGGGGGGCAGAGGGGAGAAATAGAGTGAGGAAGGTAGGGAATGAGGAGAGGAAGCAAAGGTGTGATGAATGAGATAACCATCCCGCAAGTTTCTTGCGGGTCTCCACTTGTCTATATATCTAATAGCCAAGGTGCCCCCCCCCCCGTGTGTGGATATCTAAATCCGCACATCGGGGGCACCTGGGGGGCAGGGAGATTTTCCTGCACATTTGGGGCAATCCCCAGATGTGCAGAACAATCTGAAATCTATAAAAAAACGATTTGGGGTACTTAAATCCCCCCAAAAGTAAAGGAGCATTCCATGTGTATGCACAGAGAACGCACTCACCACTAGGAACTGTGGCAGAGCTGTGCAGGGCTTACTGCCATTGCTGCTGTTGTCGTCATCAGCATGCGCAGGTGGGTACCTTGGTAGGCCGGCGGCGGGTCACACACTGTCGCAACATTTTCATAGAGTTATCTACTACGACTCCAAGATCTCTCTTTTGGTCAGTCTCTGCCAGTTCGGACCCCATCAACATGTATTTATAGTTAGGATTTTTTTCTCCAATGTGCATCACTTTACACTTGGCCACATGGAACCCCATTTGCCATATTGACGCCCACTCGCCCATCCTCAACAGATCCCTTTGGAGTACCTCACAATCCTCCCTGGTTTTCACCACCCTGAACAACTTCGTGTCATCTGCAAATTTAGCCACTTCACTGCTTACTCCCAATTCCAAATCATTAATAAAAAAGTTGAAAAGCATTGGACCAAGTACTGATCCCTGTGGTACCCCATATGTAGAAGGATGGGCTGACTTCAATAATGTGAAGCTCTTAAGGCAGATAGCAGCACCCCAGGATCCAAACACTGGTGCTATTTTGTGGACTAATACCGCTAATCTAGCCAAATGACTATCACTGTGCTGAGTGATATTTTCCATTTGCCATGATGTACAGAGATATTTTGCATATGCACCTTTCATTTAGCGCAGTCACTGAGATTTAGGCTAACAAGAGGATGGAGGACGTTTTTTGACCTCGCTACAACAGTGTCCTCAAGTGGAATGCTTTTATTTTTTACTAAGTGAATTAATGTCAACTATTTGATTACATGGAAAGTAAGTCAAGAAATGTGTTTTGAGATACACCAAGATCAGGGCTAAAACTGTTTTAAGATTCTCGTGGCTCTAGTAATCATAACCAGTGGATTTTTTAAAGGAGCTTTATTCCCCACATGCCTTCCAAGGTGGCTTTGAAACAATAGTTTAAAAACATAAAGCAATTTTAAGAATACTGTAAGTCAATAAAAACCGTGAATGGGCCAGAGGGAAGAATAAAACGGTAGGCCAGAATAAAATAATTTTTAAAAGAGAGTTTAAAAGGATACAGCGTAGAGGGCAAGAGAAAGAAAAAACGAAATATTTAAAGCTATTAACTACAAGGCTAGCGAAACAAAAATGTTTTCTCCTTGCACAAAGTTCAACAGGCTCTTCTTGTCCGTATCCTGAGAGGAGAAGACTCCATAATTGAGTCGATTCAGCAGAAAGGTGCTGGTCTCTGATAACCCCTGCTGCCCTGTAAGGTGAGGCCAGTCAAAGACAGTTTCTGAGTCTTGACGGGCAAGTTCATATGGGATCAAACAATCTTCCAGGTATCCTAGTTCCAAGCTACTTACGGCTTTATAGGTAATAACCAGCGCTTTGAATGGGGCCTGGAAGCAAATCAGCAACCTGTGTAGATCTTTTAAGATTAGATATGTATTCCGTAATTCATTCCCTCAAGGCAATTCAGCTTTTTATATCAACTGAAGCTGCCAAATAGTCTTTAAAGCAGCTTCAGGTAGAGCACATTACAGTAATATAGTCTGGATGTGATTAGAGCACAGTTAAATGTGGCCTGTCAGAATGCTCTTGGATAGTAAACTGACTAGAAGAAGAAGAGTTGGATTTATACCCTGCCCTTCACTCGGAGTCTCAGAGCTGATTACAATCTCCTATCCTTCCTCTCCCCAAAACAGACATCCTGTGAGGTAGGTGGGGCTGAGAGACCTCTGAGAGAACTGCTCTTGAGAGAACACCTCTGAGAGGACTGTGACTGATACAAGGTCACCCTGCATGTAGAGGAGTGGGGAATCAAACTCAGTTCTCCAGATTAGAGTCCTTTGCTCTTAACCAAGCTGACTAATGGCACCATACTACAAAGGAGGCCTAAAGAAGTGTAAATGCTTCCAGGATTGAGCTTCACATAAGCTTTCTTCTGTGCCTGCCTGCAGATGGTTTCCCTTCAAGCTGCATAACAGACTCCTAGATCCTATTTCCTGCATAACTCCACCCTTTAGCAACACCAAAATGTGGTGAAACCTGGGTGACTGTATGACTTGGTTTTGTTTGCCCTCCTGTTACTTTCTCTTACATCTTACCCTTTTTTCGCCACTCTTTTTGATGTGATTTATAGTATTAATTCCAGCGTACTATAATGGGTGATTTACTGTGCTTTGACTTGTGGACCTTATCAGCTGTGAACTGTTTTATTAATGGCAAAACTGGAAGGTCCCCTGTCATGTACCCCAGGATAATAAGCAATTTGTTCCATTCATCTCTGTATTGTAGTGTTTTTGCAATGAGATGCTGTATTGCCACATACGAACAGTGATGCATGGCCTGTCCTTCTAAAAATGAAATTAAGACAATATTAAAAGTTTTGAATACAAGGTACCGTTTAGTCAGTAGAGTTCCTTGAGAGAACAGTATGCAGAACTGAGAAGCAGAAAATAAAATGGCTTGGGAGTTTGTTAGGGAAAAGGTGTTCCATCAGTAAATATCTACATCTTATTTTTCATAGCACATACCACTTACAAAATAACGCTTGCTGTCTCAGTGCATTATTTCCTTGGTTTTATTTCTCTATCTGCCTTAACAGTCTAGGGACTCTATCAAGTTGAATGACCTGAAATCGGAAGTTTCTCCACGGATCTCGGCAGAAGATTTGATTGACCTGTGTGACTTGACGGGACCTAGCCATTTCAAGACCCCGACAAAGAAAACAAAATCTAGCAAGCCAAAGCTGCTTATTGTTGACATTCGGAACAGCGAGGAGTATCCTTTTAAATTGAAAGAGCTAGAGCTTAATCTTTTTTCCATTATCGCTCTGCCAGTCTTTTTAACTGGAAGTGCTGCAGTGGCTGGGGGGGGGGACAGTCTGACTGATCTGAAGGTACAACTAGGTGAGGCACGGGAGATCCGTAATCAGATAAGAACATAAGAGACGCCAATGTTGGATCAGGCCAAAGGCCCATCCAGTCCAACACTCTGTGTCACACAGTGGCCAGAAATACCAGTGCCATCAGGAGGTCCAGCAGTGGGGCCAGGACATTAGAAGCCCTCCCACTGTTGACCCCCCCAAGCACCAAGAAGACAGAGCATCACTTGCCCCAGAGCCCCTAGCTATACCTTGTGGCTAATAGCCACTGATGGACCTCTGCTCCATATGCTTATCTAATTCCCTTTTGAAGCCGTCCATGCTTGTAGCACCCACCACTTCCTGTGGCAGTGAATTCCATGTGTTAATCACTCTTTGGGTGAAGAAGTACTTCCTTTTATCCGTTCTAACCCGACCGCTCTCCAGTTGCTTTAAACTTCTTATAAATAGCAGCTGGGAGGGAAGAAGATTAGATTGGGACCCAGCACTGTGTCATTTTCCCAATGGAAATTGCTCCCCGGGACAAACAAATACGTTTCCTCTACTAGTGCAGATAGCAGTTGTGGGGACTGATTTACAGTGGGGTAAATGGTGCAGTCATGGTAGAGGCAAACCCAGTAACAGAGTGATATCTAGGCTATAGATAGAAAGATGACAGATTTCAAGAGGGCCAAATAAAAAACAACTTCCATGTGGTCAAGGCTGTGGGCCAGTTAGTCCATAAAAATGTTGTCTTAAATAACGTTTATAATATAATTATTATAAGGATGAATACATGTATCATCTAAAATAAAAAAAATTAATATTAATGTCACAGATTATATCTCCTTAGACCCGAGGCCATAATCTCTGTGCTGCTTACCTTACAGCTGTAGAATAAAATAGGTAGACTGGGATCTGCAGAGTTACCAAAGGAAAGTATACCATCGTCACAAATTTCCTTGTCCGCAGAATGGGAAACTCTTGCTTTGCTGGGAAGCAAATGACATTAGTGATTAGCTGTCAGGTGTATAACCCATCAATTGCTGTGGTTGTTGTGTTACTTTTATAATAATGTGCAGTGCATGTTACTCGTACTTTGACAGTAGTTTAACATATAGTGTGCTTAAGATGTTTTAGGTACACCCATCACATATCGCTAATGTGTTTTTATTTTAAATTTCTTCCATTTGTCTGAAAAAGTCTGTAGATTTGTCTGAAAAGTATGCAGTTTGTTAATTTCTCGTTCCTGGTGATCTGTTTTATCTAAGAAAGGCACAGTGTTTAGTTTTTAGTTAGATGGATCAGTTTAATCTTTTACACTTTTGAAAGACCAAACGTAGCTTGGTAGAACTGGAAGACTGTTCTAACTCACGACTGTATATAAGCAAAATAGAACTGTCAGGACATGTGCCAAAACCCAACCCTCAGTGCAGTTACGCTGGCTAACTAAAACAAAGGTGATCAAAGAAGCATGAAAGTATAATTATTTCTTCTGTATGTTCATTAATTTCATGCATCAGTTGAGGTTTCCACTCAGTCACGGGCTTCAGTGTCCGAATCATTTGGCTCTTCATTGTTTAGTCTTCTGAGGCGTTTTCTCCTGAAACTTGTTTAATTTTTAAACTAGATCAATTCATAGCAAAGTCTGTTTCTTTTGTCCTTCGTGTTCCCTGACATGTTTAAAGGCCAGCAGAAGTGTGAGTGGCTGTGATAGTAATAACGCTTTATCATCATAATTAACGTAATTCAGGTTTTCAGAGTGCAAAGAGTTGGAAAGCTAATAAGTACTTCACCACATGGCTTGATAGACTAAAAATGGAGTTTAATAGATTTAAGAGGAAAGAGGGTAGTGTAAAATACACGGGAACTACTTCAAAAGAGGCAAAGTGGTACATCTTTTTCTTTATTTACATCTGTAGCCTGCTCTGTCATAAAGGTTTAAAGTGTGGAACTGCATCACAGGCAGAAAATGGATCTGTTTTCCGAAATCCCACATATTAAATGCCAGAGCGATACCAAAAAGCTCAATAAAAGCATTTACTTGCAAGTACTGATGATATAGTGCAATGAAGTGCAGCCAAAATAAATGGCCCTCATTTGGAGTAACTAAGAAACTATTGTAGTTGACGGAGTTCTATCATGCGACTGATGTACAGCATTAAGCAACTGATACTCTTTATGGGACACTGTATATCTCTGGGTACACTATAATGAAATATTCAAGCACAAGAGAAAGGCGCCGCCAGTAATAGAAACAATGGCATGGAATCCTACTCTGTGCCCATTTTAATTCCCGATCATTATCTTCCATACTCTTGCCTGAACTCCTTCCAAGCAATATAGGAAGAAAAGGTAGATGGCATTTAACAAAGTTTGATAGAAAACATGCACAGCAGGTGTTTTTTGTTTTTGTTTTTTTCTTCTTGCAGTGGTGGTTTCCATGTAAACTGGATTTACTGAAATTCAATCTGCTACGTGTTGTCAGTTTAAGCTCTGGTGGCCTCCCCCCACCCAACAGTTTTATAAGGGCGAACTTCCTGGTAAAAAGATAATGTTGTCTGGGCCTTTCTTTGAAAAAGCTCATGTCTAAGTGACGTCTGTGGTTGCAAAAGAGAGGCAGCAGTTTTGCCTAAGACTCATTTCGCTAGGTATGTTACAATAATGCTGGCAGCGTTCCGTTCCTTTCAAGAAGTTCTCGGCTGAATACTTTATGGTCCTTTAAATCCCCTGCATAAAATCTCTGGCTCCTATAATCATCTTAGTGCTGGAATGGGTGAGATGGTCATTTAAGATTAGGGAAGACACTGAAAGTGTGCGTGGCTCTCTGTTGTCGCTTTAGCCAAAAGTAAATATATTTGCCCTGTCTTAAAGTTTAAGTCGTTTGTGCTGTTGTCATGAAGGAGTCTCTGTCTTTTACAATTATCTTGTACTGAAATATTTATGAGGAAGGAAATTCATTGATTCTGTACGTTTTGTGGTATGAGTGAGAACTACCCCTTCCAGTAAGAAATGAAAGGATCATGGATCACTGCCTTGTCGTGGCTTAGAAATGAAAGGACTGTGGTAATGATGGAGATGGGTCAGTTGCTTGTGAATCTGTAAAACTTTCCCTGACGTTATTTCCAAGACGGACAGGCCACAGCAGAGAACTCAGACCAAGCGTGATCCACCTGGAGAAGGAAATGGCAACCCACTCCAGTATGTTTGCCAAGAAAACCCCATGGACAGTATCAAAAGGCTAAAAGATATGACGCCGGAAGATGAGCCCCTCAGGTCGGAAGGTGTCCAATATGCTACTGAGGAAGAGCAGAGGACAAGTACAAGTAACCCCAGAAAGAGTGAAGCGGCTGGGCCAAAGCCGAAAGGACGCTCAGTTGTGGATGTGTCTGATGGTGAAAGGAAAGTCCGATGCTGCAAAGAACAATACTGCATAGGAACCTGGAATGTAAGATCTATGAATCAAGGTAAGCTTGACGTGGTCAAAAATGAGATGGCAAGACTGAACATCGATATCCTAGGAATCAGTGAACTAAAGTGGACAGGAATGGGCGAATTTAACTCAGAAGACCATTATATCTACTACTGTGGCCAGGAATCTCGTAGAAAAAATGGTGTGGCCTTTATAGTCAACAAGAGAGTGCAAAAGGCAGTACTGGGATACAATCTCAAAAATGACAGAATGATTTCTGTCCGATTCCAAGGCAAACCATTCAACATCACAGTAATCCAAGTCTATGCCCCAACCACTGATGCAGAAGAGGCTGAAGTGGACCGGTTCTATGAAGACCTACAACACCTCCTAGAACTAACACCAAAAAATGATGTCCTCATCATCATAGGGGACTGGAATGCTAAAGTAGGAAGTCAAAAGGTAACTGGAATAACAGACAAGTTTGGCCTTGGAAAGCAAAATGAAGCAGGGCAAAGGTTAACAGAGTTTTGTCAAGAGAACACACTGGTCATAGCGAACACCCTTTTCCAACAACCTAAGAGGCGACTCTACACATGGACATCACCAGATGGGCAACACCGAAATCAGATTGACTATATAATTTGCAGTCAAAGATGGAGAAGCTCTATCCAGTCAGTAAAAACAAGACCTGGAGCTGACTGTGGTTCAGATCATGAGCTACTCATTGACACACTGAGTTGGATCCTACCCCATTCTACCACACCACTGAGCAAAGCTTATTTGTTTATTGGAATATTCCATTCAGTTTGGGGAACATGTTGTTAAACAGGCTTTCTGTGTTATATCTAAGCTTGGATGAAAGCGGCTAGAAAATAGTTATGCTTTGGCGGAGGGCATGCTGAAGGCATGATGTGAAGCCTTTGGGGGACTGGATTTGGCCTCCTGTTGCCTATTCCTATTTTAATATAATGGTTGTCTTTGTCCTGGTGTTTATTTGCACTGTGGTAGCATCCAGGAACTCTGTGCAATTCTGGTTGCCTCTATACAGCCACAGTTTGTCTTCCCTTCTCCTCATTAATTCCCTTAACTCTTCTTGTCCAGTTTTAATCGAGGGCATATATCAGGCAGCATCAATATTCCATTTGGATCAGCATTCACTGCAGAAGGGGATTTCATCCAGTGCCCTGCTACAGCCACACTTCAGAGCTTTAAAGGAAGAGTTGTTGTAGTTGTTGGAAATGTGGCGAAGAACGCAGCCTTGGTAAGTTGTGCATGTAAAATGTTGTCCAAGATGGTTATCCGCAACAGCCTGTAAGCAGCCTACATGGGTTTTTCTCAGGAGAAAATGCTACATGACATGAGCTTAAATGAAACTTGAAGGTATCGATATGTTCTAATATATCCAAAAAGCAACTTTGTGTGATGTTTACACTTAAAAGGGCAACAGAAAAAATGTGTTGTGAAAGTAATTCATATTTTGTTTCAAGTGCTGTTAATGAAATCTCTCACTCTCTCAAAGTGAATCTACCCAATAGGGACAGTTATTTAATATTTATTTATTTATATGACCTACTGATGACTTATACTTGATATTAAATAGCTGCCCAATAGGGACAGTTATTTAATATGACCTTCTGATGACTTATACTTGATATTAAATAGCCATACAAAGTTCCTGAGGTATTAATGGTGTCAATTTTTTCATCAAGCTGTTCAGACAGTATCTTGTCTGTTCATATCCTGCACAATAGCAATCCCCACGTTTTAAGACATGTTTATGACACAAAGTCCTCCACTGTTTATGACACAAAGTCCTCCGTGGTTAAGTGCGCGGACTCTGATCTGGGAGAACCGGGTTTGATTCCCCACTCCTCCACTTGCACCTGCTGATGTGACCTTGGGTCAGTCACAAGCTCTGGCACAGCTGTCCTTGAAAAAGAGCAGTTTGTGTCAGAGTTCTCTCAGCCCCACCCACCTCACAGGGTGTCTGTTGTGGGAAGGGGAAGGGAAAGGAGTTTGTAAGCTGCTCTGAGACTCCGAGTGAAGGGCGGGGTATAAATCCAATCTCTTCTTCTTCTTCTATGGGTGAACTAATGATGCATTGCTATTGTTCACCACCTACATAGGTTTTTATAGGTGTTGCCACCAAGTACATAGCTAGATTTTGGATATGTTATTGTTGTCATCTTTTATTTGTTCCTGCTTACTTTTGTACTCTTTTGTTCTTTGAAGGGGCATATTTTTACTTTCTGTTAAGACCAAAAGAACTCTGATTACTGATTATCTGGAAAACAGATGATGTGTATGATTCATGTTGAAATTAAATATACTTTTTACTTTACTCTGCAGACCACGCAAAAGCTTTTGCAGGTCTTTTCAAAAAGCTTAACTGCATTTAAAAATGTTATTGTTTGATTCTGAAAAAAGATTGATGCTGGGAAAATACTGTAGTTTAAAATTTTTTGTGATTTTTTTTCTTGCTTAAACTACGAGATTGTTTTAAGATGCTTATAGAATTGGCAATAAAGTGCATATACTAAATGGGATACGTACCTGTTCTAAATTTCTGAATCATAGATTTTCAGTATGAACCATGTGGTCGTTTTGGAACATCCAGTTGATTTTAACAGCTTATAAAGAAGAACATCACACTTGGTTGCTCGCAACACATGTACAATGACTAGATAATCTTAAAAGAATTGTAAGCCACTTGGAAAAAATATGTTTTGTTTTTGTATTTTAAGATTTCTAGACACAAACAAGTAATGTTGCATGTGGCTAAAATTTTGGCGGGTGCAGTAAAATCACATAACTTAGGTACTAAACCTTAGGCTTCCCCTTTTAATGTGTGATGACTTGCTGTTTATGAGTTTTGACATAAAAACAATAATTAAGAAGAAGATTTCTAGAGAGAGAATGCATGCCTCTGTGTACATGGGTTATGGCACAGGTCTGATTCCCCACTCCTTCACATGCAGCTGCTGGTGTGACCTTGGGTCAGTCATAAGCTCTTTCAGAGCTGTTCTCTCAAGGGCAGTTCTTGGGAGAGCTATTTCAACCCCACCTACCTCACAGGGTGTCTGTAGTGGGGAGGGGAAGGGAAAGGGATTTGTGTAGTGAAGGGTGGGGTATAAATCCAATCTCTTATTCCTCTTCTTCTTACCATTCCACTACCATTCCAGTGCAAGGAGCCTTTTGTTAATGCAAGAAGCCCTCCACCAGTGGAAGAGCCTCAAACAAAAGCAAAAGGCTCCTTGTGCCAGACTAAAGTGCTACCAACCCTCCATTTACATTTTTAAAGATGTTTTAGCCATAATATTGAAATACTTCCCAGTTTTACTTCATTTGTGTTTTATGCTACCTGTGTACAGCAGAGCTAAGGTGAGATTTCACACTAATCTGAGGGTATCTAAAAGCACTAGTGATTATTGAGACATGTAATTGATAGCCACAAGGTACCATTCCACCTTTTTCTTAAGGTCAGAGCTATCTTAGTAGCAGCTCCATGTTGTTTATTTGTTTACCCCACTGTTCTTTCAGAACAGTCTGGACCTGAGGCAGATGATAATAATATAAAAATAAGCACCTGTTAAAATCCTGAAAACAAATAAGCCATAGCCCATGTCTATAACCTTCAGGCTACCCTCTAAGCTCTCTTAAATAGCTCCTCTTCGCAGCCTTACTGGAAGGCCCCAAGGACACCTGCCTCACCCTTTCCAGGTAACTCTTCCACAACAGTGAGGTGGCAGACCAAAAAAGGCCCAGGCCATAGCAGATCATATTCTCAAGAGCAAGGGGATTGCTTAGGAGTCTGTGTTGTGAGAAGAGCCATTGCCACATGAGCTCCTATTGGGAGGGATCATCCTGCAAGTCCTTCATATTTATTGGTGCAGCAGCTTAGAGCCATCCCACATGTGAAAATGGCTTTCCAGCCTGGTCATCAAGCTAGAAAACAGCAGGAAGTTTGGTCTGAGGTCAGAGAACACAGTGACAGCTCTGCCTTTGAAACTGCAAAGCTGATGTGTTAGCGAATAATGTTCTTGGAACTGACCACACCACTGAATCCATGTTGTACTTGCTAATTGAGCTTATTCTGAAGGCTCTTTCGTATTTCTGGTAGTGAGGTCAAATGTGTACGCTGATTTTTTATGATATTGAATCACAGAAACGCAGCACAGAAGCAGCCTTCTTAGCATGAAGACATGATCTAATACAATATCTGTAATCATGGTGACAATAATAATGATCCATTCTTTTGTCCCATACTCTGGGAAAATGTTTTCTTCGACAGAATGTAGAAAGTTCAAGCCAGAAAAGTGGTTACAAAACTAAATGAATGTCTCCTACCTTATTTTTATAGCTGTCTGTGGTTATGGTGAATGAAGTTTTGATCATCATACCAATTTATTTTGGCCTGTAAAAGTAGCTGACATGGGACCCTCTCCTTATCTAGCACATTTATCAAATACTATACACACATTGGTTGCCATAGCATCATGGTTCTTTCAAATGTATGGCAGAAGTTAGCTGTAAGAGGAACGGGTAATCCTCTCTAAACAAAAGAGGGCAATTGTGAGTTTCACACAAACTTTTGTTGGCCTTCTAAACAGCATAAAGCAAGATTAAATTCAGCTACCCCTCAACGTAACACATTCTTGGCTTAAATAAATGTCTCTCTTGTGAAGCACATTCCCAAATATGCATGGTGACCCTTCCCTGTGAGAATTGTTCCTTTGGCTTGACAGTGAAAGGAAAATTACTTGGTTCGCAATAAATTAGTATTGCAGCACTCTTTCAGTGGAGAGTCACTTGAATAACTGAACCGTGGTGCCTGATAGCCTTACATAGAAAACACATGCAACAATTTCATGGCATTTCATTTTTAATGAACGCAGCCACAGACAGCTGAGATGAAATGTGGAGGGGAAGGGTTGCTTTTTCCCAGCTGTGGACTGGAGCTGACTGTCCTCTCAAATGGAAGCTGGGTGAAAGGACGTCAGGATACAGCTTTCCTACCTCTGTTGTCTTGAGACAAGAGTCAGCTAGTGACCAGGGGGCCCTTTATCCCAGTCAATTAAGGGATGCAGCAGAAAAAGGGATGCCACATTCCTATGAACATTACTTTCCAAAGATACTTAACACATCCTCATTGGGGTGGGGGTAGCATCACAAGAGTTCTGTAAATGTGGCTGCGCTTGGAGTCGTTAACTTGGGAATGTTCTCTTGGCATCTGCTGATTTTCCTGGCCTTATCTCTTATCATATTTTCCATCTGTGTAGATGTAGATTAATGGGATCTTTAAACTTCTTGTGTGTTGGGCCCTTAAACCTGTCAGTTTGTACTTGAAATTATGGAGTGAAAAGTGTACATTCCTTATCCATTGAGTATGTAAGGAATTTTTCCTTGTACTTGAGTGAGCAGAAAAGTGCGTACTGTTGTTGTTCCTTACTCTTTGCCTTAGTAGTGCAGGTACTGCTTTAAGCATCAGACCATGTCTAAGAAACATTTTGAATGTTTCCAGTCTCATTTATCAGAGAACTTTTACTGTTTGACACTGTTGACTAAATTTTTTAAAAATCAGTTAAAATGGAGCAGTTCTTTTCAGTAACACTACAGCACGTTGATGAGCAATTTATTTGCTTTAATATTCATCAACTGGCTTTTACAACTGCAATCACAGAAGAACTAAAGGCTTTCTGTAAAGATAGAAACCTCTTATGACCCAGACAAATGTACTGTCAGATTTACAAAGCCCTGAAAATACAGCCTCCATGTGCTACTCCATGTGTTGCAGTACTGCAGAGAACCATAAGATGGATGTTTTTCAGATTTTACAGTAGCTGAGGACCTTGCACAATGGTAGGACTGTGCCCAAGTGGCTTTGGTCAGTATTTTGAAGGGTAGCTCCACACTTCAACATGGGTGATGTTTACTTACTTCAATCATATACAGCCTTTCTCCCCAGTGGGGACCCAAACACAATGGTAGGACTGTGCCCAAGTCCCCACAAAGCAGCTTACATTGATTTTCTTTGTGGTCTCTGTGCATCACACCTCTGGGATATAGTGCGCCTGCACCGACCCCGATCGGTATAATGGAAAGCAAAAGAGATTTTCGCGCCCGCTCCCCAGTCACATGCTGGGCTCCACTGCGCATGACTAGGGGAGGGGCACGATGATCACGCCAGTTCTCTTCTGACTGCCGCGCTAGTAGGATCTTCTCCGCCTCAGTCGGTAGCAATTTTGGCCTTTGGCCCCTTTT